TCATTTACTTATTTTTATGTGGTGCTGTGGATCGAACCCAGGGCCTCACCCGTGCTAGGGGAGCGCTCTACCACTGAGCCACAACCTCAGCCCCTCTGGCTGTTGATTTTTTAAGAGTAAGGAGTAAAAGGGAAAGAATAATTTTAGGAAATGCATGGGTAAATAAAATCTGATTCTAAATTTTTTCAGTACCTCTTTATTGAAGATAACATTCCAAGTATCAGACCAAGTGCTTTATATATATCTTCTTAAATTTCAACACTAAAAATTCTTCTTTAAACTAGTGTTGTTATGTTTATTTTATAAGAAACTGAAAAGTCACAACTGATAAGTAACCTAAGTTGACACAGTCAAGACATGTCAGAGCTGAGCTTAATACCTGACTCTAAAGACCATGTCCTCACCATGACATTGGGAACTGTCATTTTTAAAGTGTGTATTGGAAAGATGGAAGAAAATTACTGGGGTTTCTATAAGAGTTCTATTTAATCAGCAGATACATGGTAACCTGATGACTAATTTGATCTTCAAAATGATGTGTGCATCCACAAACGTAGATGATGAAAGATGGGCCAGGCATGGTGGTGTGCTGTGGTGTGTGCCTATAATCTCAGTAGCTCAGGATGCTGAGACAGGAGGATCTTGAATTCAAAGCCAGCCTCAGCAACTTATTGAGACCCTAAGTAACCCAGCAAGACCCTGTCTCTTAAATAAAATAAGGGCTGGGGTTAAATGTCCCTGGATTCAATCCCCACTACCAAAAAAGAAAAAGAAAAAGAAAGAAAGAAAGAAAGAAAGAAAGAAAGAAAGAAAATTTTAAAAATGAAAGATGGAAGTATTTCCTATAATTATATCTTTTGAACTATGTTTCCTTTTCCCCATCTTGTTTGTATTTAAGGGAAAAACTTATTTTACATATATAACTAGACTTGATCTCCAACTTGCTGGAAATTGATAATATGATACTTAAATTATTATCCCACTGTTGTTCTCTGGGATGGAACATTCAGGCTATAGATGTCATGAACTGTCACACCAATTTCATATGCTCCATCAATAGGTATACATGTAGTTTATGCTCAGATATGCAATGGAACTTTTCAGGTCTATCTCTATATATGATCTTATCTGTGACAATCCAGACTTTCCTCTGAGCTGTGTGTGTTTGTATTATTCTTCAATCTTTTAAAGTTGTAAATATGAACTTAATGCTAGCATCTTTTCAGCAGTCCTGTTTAGCCTGCTTAACTGCCAGTCTGGACAGCTAGTTTATTTGATCCCAGGAAGAATCAGAGCCTCTCTGGGTTTAGGGGTACAGCTCAGTGGTAGAGTTTTTTTTTTTTTTTTTTTTGGTACCAGGGATTAAACCCAGGGGCACTCAACCACTTAGCCACATCCCCAGTCCTTCTTTATTTTGAGACAGGGTCTCAATAAGTTGGTTAGGGGCTTGCTCAACTGCTGAAGCTGGCTTTGAACTCCCAATTCTTTTGCCTCAGTCTTCCAAGCCACTGGGGTTAAAGGTGTGCACCACAGAGCCCAGGTAGTGGTATAGCATTTACCTATTATGCAGGAGGCTGGAGTTCAATCACCAGCCCTCACTCCTCCTGCCCCAAAGAGAAAGATGTTGCCTGTGATTATTTGCTTCCAGGCTAAAAAGGGTTAAATCACAGTTTAAACTTAACCAAACTTCCAGTCTATGAAAACAAAACCAATCCCCAAAGGGCAAAAATTGGCAAAACTAATTTATTTATATGAATTAGAATTAGAAAGAATTTAAAAAGAAAACCCAAATATAGTAAAAAGAGGAGAAAGAAAAAGGAAGTTGGTTAAAAAAAAATGAGAGAGCAAAATATGTTTTGCCTGGCTCTGTCATTTAATAAGCCTGCCAAAAATGATCTGCAAAGGTGGAAGAATCAAGAAACATCAAGTATTCCACCTTCACCAGAAATGTGCAGGGAATTTCCTAGAACTGGTCAGGATGGAATTGTGGAAAGGTTCTCTCCAGACCTTTTTTTTTTTTTTGCTCATTCATTGCCAGGCATCATGCTAAATATGGGAGTTACAAGATGAACAGGGCATGGCCCTGGCTGGTCCTCAAAGATTCCCCAGGAGTAGTAGGGAGATACATCAACTGTTCTGTGTGCTAGAGTGTGAAAGGCACCGTGAAATAAATATTAAAAGGACAAAGTGGCACAAAAGGGAAAGAGGTCAACTCTATGAGTCTAATAAAAATCATTCACAACAATCATGTAGCAATGTTGCCTGAGAAACCACACACCCTCCCAGGGACAGGTGAAGCTAAATCTGAATTATCACACACATTTCAACCAAACACAACACAAGAAAAGAGGTTGTGAAGAAGGATCAGTTTCATAGCAGTCCTGAGTTCTCCATCTTTTAACTTCCAGCATATGAAAGCTACAAAGCAGAATCATTGTCTTACATTGCTAAGAAACTCCCAACCCCATTCCTGTTTTCTGCCCCCCCCCCAACGAAAGAAACGTCAGGTGAGTAGAGCTCAATGCAAACCTGGCTTTTAATTAAATGTGTGACCTAGAGCAACTCAAGTCTTTACTAAGGGTCCTCCTTTCTTTACCAGTAAAGTGAGGAACCCTATGCAACTCTAACGTACATTTCTGTTCTAAATTATAAAATAGAGACACCCCCCCCTACAAAAAAGCCAGAAACTCAAAAGAGAAACAAAAGTGAAAGTGCCCGAAGGAAATACTGTAGTATATAAACGCACCAAATTCTATTTCTCACTGGAAAACGGTGGCAGCATTCTTGAATATTTAAAAAAAATTTTTTTTCTGCAACCAGGAATTTGGTTGGGAAAGAAATGTCTATCATGCCCTCTGAATGTGAATAAGATCATTGTAACACGAATCCACCTTGCTCTATGCAACTGTCTTCTGTAACAATCCACCCTGACCCAGAACAATTATTTATTTAAATTTTCTTTCTAAATAAATCCACCCACAATGAGTGGTCCAACCCCACAAAACAAAACCCACAAAACAAAACCCGAGAGAACACCACACTAGGGTGTGTCCCGCTTTGGGGAAGAAAGAGAAAAGGGAATAGAAAGGAAAAGATTTGAACTAGATTCTGCCTGGTATTGCCACGCGGCTGTCATAAACAAGAGTCGAGACAAACTGTTTTAAAACTTAAGAAATACGGTGACCTTTAAACTATCATTTTTCCCTCGCAAGGTAACGGCGAGACTTCTCTAGAGTATAACCCGCCAGACGCCGGGAGCTAGAGCGCGAGGCTGGGGCGGACAGCTAAGTGAAGGCAGCCGGAGAAGGAGCCAAACTGACAGCTTCCCCGAGCTTTTGAGACGCTGGTGGAGCCAGGATAGGCGACCGCCACAACTAGAGGCTACGATCTGAGCCCACCGGAATCGCTGGACTCTCTAGGGTGGAAGGATGCTCCGGGTCCGCTGGCGGAGCCTCCCTTCTCACAGCAGAGGAGGGAAAGGCGGGCGCGCACGCGCGCCAACACACACACACACACGCGCATACACACACACACGTACACACACATCCTTCCCTTAGAGTTGTGTCTCGTCTCCCTTTTGTTTTTCTCCCTTCCCGGTCATGAGACCCGGAAGTTTTTTTTTTTTTAATCCTGTCTCTCTCCCATTTCCAACCCCCCCCCCATCTATCACATGGCAGAGATAGAATAAAAACAGAAAAATGGCGACGGTCACGTTGTGGCGAGCCTTGCTGCGTCATTAGATAATCCTCATGCAAATAGCGGGAAGAACAAAGGAAGGGGGGGCCCGGGACCCCCCGGGGGCGCAGGTGGGTGTGGGGCCGACCGGCCGGGCTCGGGGGTGGCGGGGC